GCGACAAACTTGCCCGGTAACTCGCACTTGAGAAGCTCAAGTTCCTTAACAATGCATATTATCTCATGAGCCTGCTCCAATACAGGACGGTTTTCAACCATCTTGTAATCGTGGAACTGCTCTATAATATACATCTCGCTCCCTGCATCGGCGGCCCCGAATTTAGATCCGAGCGCCTCCCACAAGTCCTTGGCGACATGCACATGTAAATATGCGTCGACCAGTTTATCTCCGATCACGCTAAGAACTGCTCCGAGAAACACAACGGTAGCCTCCTTGAACGCCTTCTCCTGTTCAGGAGCAATCGTTCCCGTGGAGACACCGGTGACCCAGAACACGTTCATAGCCGTGAGCCATAACGTGGTCTTAGTCTGCCAATGCTTGAAGTATGTACCGGTAAACTTATTCGGTTTCAGTGCAGCGGCAAAGCCACTTGCCGAGAAATTCCTACACATAATAGGTTTTTGGATTGTTGAGTAAATAGGCAATTTCTCGATTAAATTAATCCATGAGTAAATCACTAGCATGGCATTGACTAAGTTGATGACCTACTGACTCTGATCTAAACATGCACGTACTAAGCAAACAGTAGACAAATCTACACATACTGCTAGTACTGCTAATATGAAAATAATTAGGAGCGGGATAAACGAGTTATACCCTCCAGTAGGCCACGCAGAGGCCGCGGCTTTGGTGGCAGCAGCGGCGTCCTCGGCGGCCTTCTTGTCGGCTTCAGCTTTCTCGGCGGCGGCACGGTCAGCGTCGGTGGACATGGTGATGATGAAGGCGACGCGGACGTAGAGGAAGTAGACGATCGGAAGCGAGCAGTCGCGTAATCGCTGCCCAAAAACCTATTCGTCCCTCACCCCGTACAGAAACCAGAAGGGCGTGGTTTCGGAGACCTGCTCTCCCGTCGACCGTGTACGCGGCGGACGGGATGCAGTCACCGGCGGCAGCAGCAACAAAGGAACGACGGTGGGCGTGCGCATGAGCAGATGTGATCTGTTCGTGGCGGCTAGGGTTAGGAGACACCGCATACTTATAGGCGCAGCCGCGTGGAGAGACGTGGGCTCGACCCACGTCCGAGTCCGTGACAGCCCACGATCCGACGTCTCAGATCGTGGCCCAGCTGTCAGCGGCGCGACGCGTCGCGGCGCGTCGCGGCGGGGCGGGCGGCGGAGGAGGAGTGCGCGAGGGCCTCTTCTCTTCTCAAGCTCCAATAGCATGTAGAAGAGAAACCCTTATAAACCACTCCAACTCTCCTTCCACTTCCCGGGTGGGACTAAACTTCCCAACACCTAGTGCCATATAACCCACATGGACCCTTAGAGATTTTTCAGAAATTGCAATATGGGCCTAGAGCCCATCTCAGATTTCAGCAGAATCACCATCAACGCCGGCTGAAGCAAAATGGTCGGGTTTCAGCACCGCACCTCGTCGGTTTTCAGCATACCACACTGGATGGTGTGTGTGGTGATGTAGCGGCGTTGCAGTGGTGGACGGGCTGCAGGAGCGCCGGCGCCAAGGAGATCTGAAGAGAGAGAGAATGAGGCGAGCTCGGTCAAGCAACTCAGCGACAGCGACCAAGGCGAAGGGGGAACGAATGGACAAGGCTCGACTTAGAGATAAGGAAAGGAAAAAAGAAAATGGTGCGGGTGGGCCAGCGCAATGCTGTTTGTGTGCACTGCACAGTGCGCAACGCGCGTAGGGAGCGAGCGACCGGCCGAAGCTTCGACCGGCACGCCGATTTCAGAGGGTGGAACTTTTTTGTGTAGGGACTAGGAAAAGTCTCTCTTAAAGATTTTTTTACCAAACGAGAGGGATTTTTTAGGGACTAAACTAGGTATTTGAAATTAAATGAAGAAGACTCTTAAGGAGAGTCTTTTTTGGGACTTTTCCAACAATGCCCCTCCATGCATTCAATGGTCCGCCACTCCATGGTGTTGTTTGATTGTTATTTTTCTATATACTAGGGGCAACATAGTCATTTAATAACCTCTAGGAAGGGACTAGCGACTTTTTAGTCTCTATAAACAAACAGAGAGGGACTTTTTAGGGACTAGAGACTTTTTAGTTGGGACTAAAAAAAGTCCTAGGACTTATGAACCAAACAGGGCCTTAAACATTTCCCTTCGGGATTTGAGGGTACTGATCTGCGTTTTTATTTTTTTGCTCAACCCTCAAACTGACAGTTATTTTGAGGATTTTATCAGTTTGAGGACTCTGTTAGACGTGCTCTTAGCGCCGCAGAGATGGTAGCCGAGGGCGCAGGAGGTGCCCGAGATGCGTCCTCACGGTGACGATGGCGTCGCTCCTGCCCAGCTCCGACGCCTCTCTCGGAAGGAAGACGAGGTCATCGCGGCACGCACACCGGGCAAAGTTCCACGGAGACGCTGGCTTGCTCTTGTGTCGTGCGATACGAGTTGCATGCCCCGCCGCGTCCGCCACGCGCACCGGCGCGATGGAGGCGATGAGGGCGTGGGGCATGCCGGGACACAAAAGAAGAAGTCCGGCCCAACACCGACGCTGGTTGCCTGGCCGAGGGCGGCCAGCCAGTGCTCGAGGTGGAGCAGCGTGCGGCAGTGCGACGCGCGCTGCACGACGGCGCACCACTGGTCCTGGTGAGTTATTTACCCAAAACCACCACACTTGAGGCTAGGGTAACTACTTGGTACCATATTCAAGTCAGGGCACAAAAAACCACCAGGAATGTGCCTAATTCATAACGCGAAGCACTGATTGTTTGATTTACCCACGAAAACAGCGAAACCGACAAGTTGGCCCCACCTATCGGGCTGACGTGGCATACCTATGTGGATAATTGGCTGAGGTGGCCCAAGGCCCCACCTGTCGGATGCATCTCCTCCCCTCTCTTCCTGTCAAAAAAGCGAAAGACCCGACCACTGCCATATCCCGCGCCGCCGCCGGAGCCCAACCCCGGCGAGCCACCCCACCACCGGCGAGCTGCCCCACCGCCACCGCCACTGCCATCCGCGATGTGCCGCCCCGCTGGACCTCAGTCTACCTCCATGAAGGCGGATGCATCATCGGGCACCAGCGGCCGCTCGGATCCGGCGAGGATCCAACCCGCTACCTGGCGCCGGCGACGAGTCGAAGAGGAGCACGACTACAGGGGACGTCTCCTCGTGTGTTCTTGCTTCTGCCGCCACTTGCTGCTTGCTTGAGGACGCGCGCGACCAGGGCCTCCTGGTGGGCGCGGCGAGCATGGGCATGGCCATGGCATCCACAACGGTGCGCGCGGCCAGGGACTCCGGGCGGGCGCGGCCATGGCTCTCGCGGCGAGCACGGGGGTGGCCATGGCGCCCCCTGACAGCACGTGCGGCCAGGGTTTCCCGGCGGGCGCCGCGAGCACAGGCGCGGCCATGTCGCTTCGTTACAGCGTGCGTGGCCAGGGCCTCCCCGCGGGCGCGGCCATGGCGGTCCACCACGGCGCGCGCGAGTTCGCGACCAAAACTCGTCGGATCCAGGCGCTGCAGAGGGCTGGGGCAGTGCGGCGACGACTGGGCAGCGCGGCGAGTTCGAGTTCATCCATGGCGGCGGGCGTGGGAGCTGGCTCCTGTTTGAGAGAGAGAGAGAGAGAGAGAGAGAGAGAGAAAGAGGCCAGGGAGGAAGGAAAAGATAGGGGCGGCAAGGGGAGCTGCAGCGGCCTGACAGTGGCGGCCAGGTCGGATGACCATCGACCAGCGAGGACGGCGAGCGGCGCCGGCAACGTGCGGTGCGTAGGTAAGTGCCCACTACCTGTTTGTTGAAATGCCCAGGAGAAAAAGAAAAAAAAAAAGGAAAATAGATAAACACTCTGAGTCATTGACAGGTGGGAACCTTGTCCACGTCAGCAAATTGTCCACATAAGCACACCACATCAGCCTGGCAGGCGGGCCTCACCTGTCGGTTTCGCTGTTTTCGCGACTAAATTGCAGCATCAGTGCTCTGCGTTACGCATTAGGCACATCCCTGGTGGTTTTTTGTGCCCTGGCTTGAATGTGGTACTAAGTAGTTACCCTAGCTCCAAGTGTGGTAGTTTTGGGTAAATAACTCGGTCCTGATCCGTGCATGTCAGCGCGGGCCCGGACACAGGGGTCGTGGATGGCGAACTCGACGGCGTGGTCGTGCTCCAGAGGGCAGAGGCGGAGCCTGCCTGATGCGCTTGGAGTGCGGCTCGGTGAAGACGAACTCGGCCGCACGCAGCGGAGGAGCAGCTGCATGAGTTGGTCAGATTCCGCCGCGGCACGGGCATACAAGTAGGGTGCTGGAGCTGGGATAGAGCGAGTAGCAAATGAGGTCTATGCAGCTTCGCAGAGGTGGCGCGACCTCAAGGATGTGCTGTGGCTCATAGTCTTTGTTTGGTTAGTGCTTCATCTTTTGGAGTTTGATGTTTGGGCTTATGGTCATGCCCTCATGTTCTTAGGATGGTTGAATGTATGATAAGACAAATGATGTGGGTAGCTGTTCGTCGACTCGCTTGGCTCTGAACATTTCCCATCGTGGATGTGGCACAGCTAGGGGAGGGAGGTCCTGTCCGTCCTTCTCTTTAGTTCTGTAGTTTTCGGATGCTGTGGTTTTCTTTTATATCAAACAAAAAAACATGTATGGCACATGTAGTCAAACTCAGTACATGAATCAGGGTGTGTTTTTCCTCATCTGGAGAAACTGCTTTCTAGGTTATCTATCTGCTGCCCAACATCGAAATTTCGCTCTGAGCTAGGCAGAACGAGACAGCTCAAATGCTCCAAGTCCAAGAAGCAACATTTCACTCTATATGGCCTTGCAAGTTGCAAGATATTGAAGACAAGTAACATTTCGTCCGCAATAATTCGACACATCATATATCTATCTTTCTACTTGCTTTCATGAAAATAATTTGAACTCCGCCGCGCAGCATTCCCTGTGAAGAGAAGAATAACATCCCAGGGCGCAGGCGAGATATAGTACTAGTTGACTTCCGAATTCCGGTATAGATCAGTAGCAAAAAGGCTGGAACTTCAGATCTCCTCTTCGGCCTTTTGAACACCTACCATCCTGGCATAGTCCACCCATCTGTTCATACATAAAGTTCATCGGTGAGTAATGCTGTCGACACAGGGTCACGGCTTGTTACATGAGTGTTACTCGCGCACTTACAGTAAAGAACCCAAGAATGTGTTCCCTGTCCGAACAGCGAAGCAGAGGGCACTCAGCAGAAGCTTTTGTTTGTGTAGTACAGGCTCCAGCATCCTCTGCTCGATTACACCAGACAGAATCTGGTACCTGGTGAAGTATATAATCATTTGTCACTACCGTTAACAACAAAGAGACTACGCATTATTTTTTAGATATTAGATACTATGCTTTGGGTTCCTCAAAAGAAGATACTATGATTTGCAATGGTTGCCCCATTCAAGACAAAAACAAGAGAATGGATTTATTTATGCCACATGTGTTGAATATTATGGAGAAGATGTTTACCTGAGGTTACTAGAAACTGCCATATATATACCATAGGCAATACTAGTTGACACAACTGGAATATCGTCAATTTCATCGTCAAGGTCCTTGTCAACAGCCTTCCTTGCTTTGATCAGTGCATTCGTGACACCAGTACCAACCTGGGAAAGATGACAAGTTCAGGAAAATAAGCATTGGCGACCAGGACTGCTAGATTGTTCCTTTTCAGAACAGAAACATTCGATTCAGAAAAAAACAAATGACTGTTATTCAAACACTATTTCTTCTAAATGAGGCAGTACTAGAGACAAAACAGAGTTAAAATAAATCCTTAGTTACTGTAAGATTTTATTTTATTTTGCTTTAAGCGAATCAGAAAACAGCAGAAATATCTGATGGTTGAGTTATTAGTGAGTCTGTGTGCTTCAAAGTAAAAGGTCCAGCTTACAATTTTCTGGAGATTTGGTGAACTATAAGTCCATATGTATTTAGCTCGTCAAACAAAAGTTCAGAAGAAGTTAGAGATTATCTGGATCTTCAAGCAAGTTAGCTCAATGTTGTGTCAAACGTAACATATTACTTTATTGGAGTCACTAGAATTGAAGCTTAAAAGCATGAATAGTTTAGCCTGATGAAAACAAGTATGGCAGAGATCTTTTACAATGATACTTGAATAATTTCTTGTACACTTTGTCCATTTTTCAAATTATTTTCACTAAATCTTCATAATAGGATCCTCTCCTAGTGTTTACTGCCCAAAGAGGGGGAAAATGACATTGGCATATTTGTCAACAAAAAATCAAGATAAGTTGTTAGTGATGATTATCAGTTCATCACAATACATCTTTGGTGACATGGCAGGCTTACCAGAGAAGCACCAGTTCCGACTGCAAAAAGCTTTGCACCATTTTTCTGCAAAGGGTCACAATTGTTAGTTGACCAATAGCCCCAAATTTAAGGCCACCATGTGCGTATAAAAAAACACATTAAAACTAATGTACTTTACCACAATAGCTCCTAGCCTCTGCAGAATTGAGAATGATCTTCCAGCCAAAGCAATCTGGAAAAAAGTCAGCATAAGTGTTTTGACAAAAAGGAAAAAGGCTACAAAGGTGTAATTAGCTAGAAAGAAGGGTGAAGTTCTGGTTACTTGGAAAGCATTGTCTGGGCAGTTGTGGAAAAAACTAGTGATAAGCCCAGCATTTCTTGCAAGTGGTGGCTGCAGAGATACAGTTGGTGCTGGAAGATATACAAGCATGAAATCTGCAACAATTGCCATGACCTGGGTAGTACAAGAAGCAACTGAATTAGATTTTGAAGCAGATAAGTTGGAAGCACAATAATTACTTCATTTAGAATAAGCTAGTGAATTGTATCGACAATGAAACAGAAGTAAAAGCCAATGACCTTATTTTGTGATATGAACAGGATGTTTCCATCAGTACCATTGTCCTTGGTACATTTGGGATAGTTTAAACTTTTGATTTTGTTTGCTTGATTAATCATTTATATTTAACAAGACAGCAAGGATTCAAGCTTGCATTATACTAGTTACAACTTTGTAGTCGCTGCTAGGTTCACAGTTGATGATTTTCAACATAGAAGGTAATGTATGTAGTAGAGAAATAACAGAGCAAAACCACAAATTAAACTCCTGATAGGGTAACTTCAGAACACCTGGAAACAAACATACAGTACTCTGTGGATCGAATTTCCTCATGTTAGAAATATTATTTTGTACTCACCGACGAACATTTACCATTTAACAACAAAACAGAATTTCTAATAGAAGTTAACACGGACTTATGAATGATCATGTAAAGACAGTTTCACACCATGGTTTGTTTGGTAGTTTGATTTGAAATGTCAGGGTTATATATCACATATGTACAAACTGCATGTCTTCAGTAGCAGACAAGCAAAGGCAGGCGTACCACATCAGCGATGACGATGTCAATCTCTTTGACGAAGTTCTCCCGTCTCTTCTCGTACTCGGCAGCTGTCTGAAACAAACAGAGCAAGCAGCAACAAAAAAGCGTCAGACAAATTAAAACGCGATTTCATTTTTTCTTCTTCTGAAAATCAAATCAAATCATAGGAAGATAAGATAAGAAAAGGTTGAAAGCATTCATGATCATCCATGTGGATGGAGGCACGGACCTTGGCGATCATGCCGACGCCCATCTCCATGGCGAGCTTGGCGAGGAAGAGGTCGTCGGCGAGGAGGCGCTCCCGGAACCCTCTGAAGCGCAGCAGCCAGCGGAGCAGCGGCGAGGCATCCATCTCCGCGAAGCGCCGCACGATGTCGCCCGTGACGCGGCCGCCCTCGACGGCCGCGGCCAGGTCGGCGGGGAGGCTGGAGAGCTTCCTCCCCGCCTGCGCCAGCACGAACAGCGCCTCCCCCCGGTTCCCGCCCCACTCGCCGCCGCCGTCCCCTGTTTCGTCGTCCCCGCCGCCGCCGCCGCCGCTGTTGTTGTTACCGTCGTCGTCGTCGTTGTTGTTGCCGCCGCCGGTGGAGGAGGGGAGGGCGAGGGGGAGGCGGGGGCGGGGAATGGCGAGGCGGAGGCGGAGCGGGAGGGAGCGGAGGAGGGCGAGGCGGGAGCGCGGGTGCTGGCCATGGAGGTGGAGCTGGCCGAG